GCCTCTCTCTTTGGCTTACAAGTGTAGTCTTCTCCTTGTGTCTCTTCACACTGTCTTCCCTCTTTGAGGTCTGTCTCTGTGTCCAAATTTCTTCCTTTTTATAAGGACACCAGCCATGTTGGATTAGGGCCCATCTAAGGACTTCATTTTAAATTGATTTCCTCTATAATATCTCTGACTCCGAATTCTGTAAAGTCATATTCTGAGGTAGTAGTGATTAGGATTCCAAAGAGGGGGTGGCACAATTCAACCCATTTTGTTAAGACGTCACAAAGTTCTCAGGTGGTGACTCACTGCGCTTAAAAGCCAGAGAGACGCTGAGAGGCATGCCTCCTAGATCCTTCCTGTTCAGTAACAGAGTTTCTAAGCATCTCAAGGACATTGCTTCACAGAAGTCTCAAAAGGAGCCCAGGGTAGAGAAGAGCTTATATGGAATATAAGTTTCTGTCTAATGGAGTGGAATATAATTTGGAACACAAAAAGTCCACAAGTCTTAAGAGATTGTATCAGCTTGAACTCAAAGGAACACACGGTATAAAGTGAAAAGAGGCCTTTTAACCCCTAATCTTTTACAGACAGAAAGCAGGTGAGAAAGATACTTAGCAATAAACCTGGGCTCCTTTTTATGGAAAAAGAAGAATGACCCAGAAAAGCCAAGAACAATTTCTATTCAATAGGACCGGACCTTAATCAGGGAGTTGTGCCTGATGAGATTCAGGATTGCCGCAAACTAGTGACTGCTGTGTGCCCTGTTTTCCGTGTGTTTGAATTGTGGTTTCCTATGCTTGTTCCACTATTTTATGCTGGGTGTCTAGGAGAGGAGACAGAGAACTTGTCTCTTTACTTCACAGGTCATCAGGGAGACTTATGCACCTAGATTGTAGCTCATGCTATAAGGGGCTGATGTTTGGGAATCCTGAAGGAAGAAATTACTGCAATTTGCATAGGAAAAGGATACAAATTATTGTGCTTATAGGGCAGACTGTGGCAGACTGTCTTTTCCCAAAATGACAGCAAAATATTACAAAATGACTTTGACCACTCCTTCCACCAAGAAGTGGGGTCTACGTTCCCACCCCTTGAATCTGAGTGGACGTGGAATTATAGTAGAAGTGTTGAACTATGATTTTAAGGCTAGATAACAAAAATGTTACAGTTTCCACCTCATTCTTTCAGGATGCTCACTCTTAGAATCCAGCCAGTATGTCATGAGGGAACCCAGGCAGCCTTTGGAGAAAAAAAAATGGTCCCCAAACATAGTCTCAGCCAAGCTCTCAGCCATCAACAACTTGCCAGCCATGTAAGTAAGCCATTTTAGCATGTGATGGTATATAAAAAAAGGTCCAGCTGAGAAGCCCCAACTCATACCATGGTGTACAGACAAGCTGTCCCTGTCAGATGAGCTCTGCCAACCTTGTGGATTTGTGAGCAAAATAAATGACTGATGTTCCTGTAAGTCAGTATGTTTGGGGTGGCCTGTTACACAGTAATAGATAACTGACACAGAATTCAGCACTTTTATGAAGACTTCTTTAAGCTCCCAGATATGGTTAAATGTTCCTTTTTTTCTGCTCCCGAAACACTTAATGTAACATTGCCCTTGCACTTATTATATACTGTTGGAATGAGCTATTCACTTGTCCACCTCCATGTGAGGGCAAGGGCAGGCCTGGGCCTTTCTGGAAAAATTAGCTCTTCAGATATATTAGTTTTGCCCCATTCTCTCCTCTCCTTCCTGAACTTTGATTAGACAAGTAAGAATTTCTCAGCATATCCTCCAATTCTCTTAGCTTCACTTTCATATTTTTTATTTTTGTCTCTTCATGTAATATTCTGAAGAACTTCTTCTGACCTAATTTCCAGCTCACTAAAACTCTCTTTAGGTGAATTTAGTCTTTTGTTCTACTCACCAACTGAGTTTTAAATTTGGAGTTGTGCGTGTGTGTGTGTGTGTGTGTGTTATTAATTTTTTTCATTTCTATAAGTTTTATTTTTTCCTCCCAAATATACTAGTTCATTTCCATTTCTTGAAACATCTTCAAGCTTATCTTTATTTATAATAACAACATGGTCATGTTTTAGTTTGCTAATTATGTAACCTGATAATTCCAGTATTTGAAGTCCTTGCAAGTGTGGATCTGTTCTTTCTTGTTTCTGTTGAATTCTGTTTGGGGTTCCTTTCCTTGTAGTGTTGATCATTGTAAACTGCCAATTTTACTTAGAAATAGGAATTATTTGGGGCCTAGGAAGAGAATACATTCCTCTCTAGAGGGATTACATTTGCTTCTGCTTGATGCCTGAGGATATGTAAACTACCTCCACAGATTGACATTTTTTTGGAGACCATCTAGTTGATTAAAATTTTAGGTGCAAATGGTGTGAGGACCAGTTTGTGGTAACAACTCCTCAGGAATTTCCATTCCTGGTTCTGCTCACAACACATCATCTTTCCTTGGGGTGGGTGTTATGGGGAAGGATTATTTCTTATTTCTATGAGGGTGTAGTCCCTGGAGTCCCAGCTGTGTGGAGGAAGAATTTCCTATTAGAGCTTCATACCAGACAGGCACAGGGATCTTTTCTGTACATAGTCACAGAGGTCTTGAGCACCAAAGTTCAATAGGAGGTTCAGAAAATTCCCTCATAACAAAAGTGGCATTAGTGCTCGACTGGCTTCCCACCCTCACCAGGGTTTTGGCCTGATTATTTCTTATTAGCCTACTGACAAAAAAGAGTTGCTAATTTAAATGTTATTCGATTTATATAAATTTCCTGTCACCTTTTTGATGCTTTAAAGACATTTTTTCGTTTCCGTATTTTTATCCAGCAGGTCTGCTTATTTTCAGCAAGAGAGTTCTATGCCTAGTCAGCCTTGTTACCTGGGTCCACGCCTTCATCATTCCTGTTTCCTCAGCAGGCAGAGAACTGCTTGGACGTGAAGTAACTGAACTAGTTTTTCGCTGCTTAGTGAACAAACTCGTGTCTTCTTCAGCTCTTTCATTCCTGCCTCCACCATCCCTGGCACACCCACATCCCTTGTGCCATAATTAAAACTCTTTTACAATTTCATACATACATGCCCTCCATTTTCCTAAGTTAAATGAACTTTCTCCGTGATCTCCCACTATTTCCCATTTACCTTTCCTGTGGCAGAGTTTTCATATTTATCAACTCCCATGGGGTCAGCATTGTCTTCACTCTGTATGACTACTTTTGATCATTCACTATTCTGCCTTCATCCAAAATCTGTCCTACTGTGAAGATTATGTTATCCTATTATAACATTCTTTCTCTGATTTTATTGCTATCAGATGTGGACTTCCAGTCATACCTCCATATTTCTTGGGGGTTTCAGTATTTGTAATTTCTACTGTATTCATCCCCTAATATAGGTTGAAAGTATAATGGAGTACTTAAGTACACAAGTTGGCCAACCAAAGTTCAAGTCCCAGATCCACCTCTTATTAACATATGACTATGGAAAGTTACCTAGTATTTCAGTGCCACAGTTTCTTCATCTGTAAAATGGGAATAATGATAATATCTCACAGCATTGTGGGAATTATATAAAACAATGTATATAAAGCAGTAAGAATAATACCTGGCACATAGTAGGTACTCAATAAATATTCACTCTTTCATTGTTAGGTTCTCACTGCATCCTAAAACCCTCTTCAGCATGCTTATGAATTATTCAACACCTTTGCCTCAGTGCTGCTCAAAAACCCATTTGTTCACTTCTATAAAATTCCCTTACCTAAAATAAGCATTTCTGAATTTTTTTTGTCTTAGGTACATAATCTTATTGAATCCTCACATGTGAATTTTATTTTAAATCTTGTTCAAAATATCTAGCCCTTCTTTTGAGACAATGACCTTTTAAATTAACCCAGAAATTGTCCATTTGGAAATACATATTTCAGAATTGCTCTAGTCTCTCTTCTCTCTGGTGGAAGCAATGTCTGTGTTTTCTTAGACTAGCTCAGTCTTAACTTCCACCCATTCTGTTCTCCTTCTTATTCTTTATCTTCAGCCTTTTGGTCTCTACCAGTAAATTCCTCCAACCTCTAAACTTCACCAAGGCTTGCATATCCTAAAATCAGCTATTTCTCCCTTGTACCTCTCTCTTCTCCTGTTACCATCTTATCTCTTCTTTTGATCTTATTGAAAGGGTAATTTGTATTGTCCACTCTGATTTCCTAAACACACACTGCTAATTCTCAGAAATCTGGTGTCATTGCATCACTTCTCAAACTTACTTTTCAAAAATAAGCAGAAATAGAATTGTCAAACCAAAAAGGCCTCTCTTCAGAGTCTCTCTTGCAGTTCCTTTGCAGCACTGTTTATGTTGACCATCCACTTGAGACTTCCCTCCCTCATTCACTTTCATGTAACTAGGCTTCACTCTTTATTAGAGGTAGTGATGAAATAACAGAAAGCAAACATGATGGTAGTCAAACGCTCATGTTCAAGCAAAGGCTCCACCATGTACTGATCTCAAATAAAACACTTAGCTCTAATCTCCTTATCAGAAAAATGGGCATAATATTTGCTTGTCTTGTTCACTAGTTTATAGTGCAAATAAATAAAACAACGGATCTGAAAATACCATAAAATATATAAAATATAAAAAGTAGCTGAGTACATTTGTGAGAACCTGAAAAAAATCGGATACAGAAATGTACATTAGAAGATTCTTGCTACCAAAACTGCTATGAAGTTCTCAAGGACCCAAAGCTTTGTATATAACTTAGATGAGTTTTGCTCTGAAAATGTTCCAGAGTGTACTGCTCCCAGGAGGGCTTTTGTCAGAAAGTTAAGAGCCTTCACATCAAAAACCCTCTGACTTACCTGGTCTCACTACAAAATGCAAAAAAAATGATTATTGTGACTATACTGGGGCACTTTCATTTTTAAAAGATTGTAGGAAATCAAAATATTGATGATACATCTTTACATATACAAGCATGCAATTAAGTTGGCCAAACTGTAAGAAATATTACCAGTTCTTGGGGAAGGGACTCTTGCAATTTCTAAGGAGCAAGGTTTTTTTGTAACTGTTGTGTCCGAGAGATCACATAGAAAGTTCTCATTTTCTGAAGGAAATGTATCCAGAGAAGCAGATGGTACGATTTCCATAGTGTAATTCCTCTTCTTTGGATAGGACTCCTGAAAGGAAGGAGAAAAATAAAAATAGCTTTGTGACAAAGATACAGCCTGTTTAATTTATAAAAACTAGAAAAAAATAATAAGGTTCATCAGTTCTTCCAAAAGTGACTGACAGGTGATGATTCATGTGTTTGAATCAAGTCATACAGTCATGTAATCTCAGGATTATCAGTGATCTTTTTGGAAGGATCCTTACAATTTCGTTTCCCTGAATTTATCACTGAACTGGTAAAGTTCATGACCTCTTTTTCTAATAGATGTCTATTTTCTAGTTATGACACAAACCGATGTTGCACTATTCCACAGTCATTCTCAAGACTCTACTCCTTTACCTGCTTCCTCCAACTAGCTATATGACTCAATTTTGGCCAGTTAAATATAAGAAGTTTGCATGAGGATTCTGGAAAAACATATTTTTCCCCAGGTAAAAAGACCTGCAAAGAGGATCTTTCAGAACCTTGGCCATCTTCAGGTTCCTCTCTCTTGATGCAGTTTTGATGTTTGGAGCTAGGGCAGGCATGTTGTGACCATAAGGCAATAGCCTAAGATCAAGAAGATAACAGGTCAAGAAAGGCAACAGAAAGAGCCTGGGACCTTGATGATGTCATAGAGCTACTCAAATAGCCCCAGGACCACTTTCTTCAGATTTCTTAAGTAAATAAGAAAGTCCTTATTGTATGAGCCATTACTGACTGGGTTTTCTGTCATTTGGAGGTAAAAGCATTCCCACATAACACACAAGTATTTTTCTTTGTGAATACTGTTAACTAATATACTAAGGTTATTCTTTTCACATTAGTATAAAATTAAATTCCAATTCTATATTATAGATTCTTCAATATATTCTAAAAATTGAAATCAATTTTATTTTACAGGATCTTAATTTCTTATACAAGGCATTATCTGTTCATCAAATATTTATTGGACATCTATCATATATAAGACTTTGCTAAGTGCTGGAGATTTTTTTAAACTAATAAAACATAATCCTTGCCCCCAGAAAGTTTACAGTTTACTAGAGAAGAAAAACAGATTATCTGCATGATAAACTTCACAATTAATCATGTTTTTGTTTTTGATATTTGTTATCTTTATAAAGCATAATTCACTGTAGAAAGAAAAAGACAAACAAGAACAAAATAAACTCATTGTCAAAAAATCTTCCAGGATATTTCCAAGGGTTGGTGAAGATTTAGTACAAGCTCCTGTTTTTTCTACAATGGTATTTACAGTACTGTAGAATAAGTAGTCAAAGTCAGTGTAATTGCTTTCAGACCATACCAGACCTCACACATCAGAGAGTCAATTATGTCACTCTACTCTATTGAAAGCAGGAAATTGGGAGTAATTTATTTTTAACAACAAAGGGCGACAAAGTAGAAAGGGTCCAGAGGAAAGCAATCAGGCTGGTATATGATTTAAAAACCATGTCACAGAAGAACTGATGAGGAGCCGCTGTGTTCTCTCCTGGAGAAGCCGTACAGCAGCATGACGGTCTTCTCTGCATATTTGAAAGGCTATCCCTCAAGAGCTCTTCCACAAAGTGGGCAAGGGGAGAAGCTGCTGTGGTAGATTTATTCTAAAGTTCTTAAAGGCAGAACAAAGATCAATGTTGGTAAGTCAAGGAAGGCGAATTTGGGTCCTTACACAAAACAATCTCCATGAATCAGTAACATTGCTCATCTATTTAAAATCAAAATGTACTAATATAACAATTAGCTAAAAAACAGCACTAGAAAGCAACAGAAGGAACTCCTCATGACTGGAAATCTTTCAGCAGGCCTGTCCATTGATAAAATTATGTACAAAACACATTGTACAGTGAAGATACCAGAGGACTGTAAACTCCATGAAGGCGGGAATTTGTCTTGTTTACCACTCTATCCCCAGAATAATACAGGTCCTGCCACATAGTAGGTGCTCAATAAATATTTGCTGATCAACTAAATAATCCTAATGCCCTTTTAACAAATCTGACTACCAATTAGGGAAATGATTATGCTTTTCAAAGATGTCAATTACTTTGCTTTCAGTTTGATTATTGTTACTGTCAGAAGTGAAAATACTTTGCATGTCAGAAGTGAAAATGCTGAGATTACCACAATATGATTGTAAAGAGCCCCTCACTTAAAGTCTTGCCAGTTCATCCTAATGTTAACCAGGACAATCCATTCTTCATTGATTTGATTAAGTTGGAATTTTACTGTGTGTATAGTTATGAGGATTTTAAAGACCTTGAAAAATACTCTGAAATGTAACCACACAGGATTAGTTTGTTTTCCCCTTTAATAAGGAAGTATATATGTTTCTTAGAGGAATATTAGAAAATATAAAGAAAAAGAGGGAAAATAATCACACAGAAACCCAACATGCCCAGATAACTAATAGTGACATTTTGATGTATATCCTCCCAAACTGCTTCCCTCTGTAAAGGTGTGTGTGGACATGTGGGTGTGTGCAAAGGAGAGACAAAATATTTTAAACAACCATGAAGTGCACGCTCTTTTACTTCCTAAGGGAGGGCCATTATTTCTCACTGGAGATGTCCATCAAACATAGTTTTACTTATGGAAAGTGAGTGTCCGAAAGGAAGGAGATGGTGAAACAAAGACAGAAACTTTGCTTTTGTAAATATTTCATATTGTCAAAAAAAGGAGAGGCATTCAACAAAACAACTGAAAATTTCCCCTAAGATCAAATAGCTTAAGATCAAGTGATAGGTGGATAATAGAGGATAGATAGGTGAGATAATAAAATAATAAAATCGATAATGTTGGTAAGTCAAGGAAGGCGAATTTGGGTCCTTACACAAAACAATCTCCATGAATCAGTAACATTGCTCATCTATTTAAAATCAAAATGTACTAATATAACAATTAGCTAAAAAACAGCACTAGAAAGCAACAGAAGGAACTCCTCATGACTGGAAATCTTTCAGCAGGCCTGTCCATTGATAAAATTATGTACAAAACACATTGTACAGTGAAGATACCAGAGGACTGTAAACTCCATGAAGGCGGGAATTTGTCTTGTTTACCACTCTATCCCCAGAATAATACAGGTCCTGCCACATAGTAGGTGCTCAATAAATATTTGCTGATCAACTAAATAATCCTAATGCCCTTTTAACAAATCTGACTACCAATTAGGGAAATGATTATGCTTTTCAAAGATGTCAATTACTTTGCTTTCAGTTTGATTATTGTTACTGTCAGAAGTGAAAATACTTTGCATGTCAGAAGTGAAAATGCTGAGATTACCACAATATGATTGTAAAGAGCCCCTCACTTAAAGTCTTGCCAGTTCATCCTAATGTTAACCAGGACAATCCATTCTTCATTGATTTGATTAAGTTGGAATTTTACTGTGTGTATAGTTATGAGGATTTTAAAGACCTTGAAAAATACTCTGAAATGTAACCACACAGGATTAGTTTGTTTTCCCCTTTAATAAGGAAGTATATATGTTTCTTAGAGGAATATTAGAAAATATAAAGAAAAAGAGGGAAAATAATCACACAGAAACCCAACATGCCCAGATAACTAATAGTGACATTTTGATGTATATCCTCCCAAACTGCTTCCCTCTGTAAAGGTGTGTGTGGACATGTGGGTGTGTGCAAAGGAGAGACAAAATATTTTAAACAACCATGAAGTGCACGCTCTTTTACTTCCTAAGGGAGGGCCATTATTTCTCACTGGAGATGTCCATCAAACATAGTTTTACTTATGGAAAGTGAGTGTCCGAAAGGAAGGAGATGGTGAAACAAAGACAGAAACTTTGCTTTTGTAAATATTTCATATTGTCAAAAAAAGGAGAGGCATTCAACAAAACAACTGAAAATTTCCCCTAAGATCAAATAGCTTAAGATCAAGTGATAGGTGGATAATAGAGGATAGATAGGTGAGATAATAAAATAATAAAATCGATTCATGTCCCTTCTCAATTTAAGAAATGGAACATGACTATTGAAAGCCACCTCCTCCCACCTATATTCCCCTTGCCAATGCCTCCTCCTCCCTTCCCAACCAGGGCTAAATCCTATATATACATACATATATGTATCAACAAAGAATACATTTTTTCATACAATATGCTCTTAAACCTCTTAAGTATAATATAACATGGTGTTATTCAATTTCTATGACTTTTTTCAATCAATATTATGTTTCTGAGTTTCATGTATTTTCAAAGTGGTACAGAGGTTCACTGTATAGATATATCATAATTCATTTACAGATTCTCCTGATAGTGGACTTCTAAGCATTTTTCAGATGTTTTGTTAAGAACAATATTGCTATGAATATTCCTGAACAAAGTCTCTTGTTACAACTGACCAGGGCATGTTACCTATTCCAGTAGTCATAGCACAGAGACTCAGGAATAGACACAAGAAAAGAGAGTGAAATCAAGAGTTCCTTAAAAACAGGAATTTGCAATAGGAAGTGATCATAAGAACTAAGACTGGATACTTTGTATATGCCATAGAAATCTTGAGGAAGGCATTGCATTTTCCCACCCAAAGTGGGATGAAGGGTCAAGGGATTTTCTATAAATTTTATATTAAAGTATTACATATAAATATGTAAAATATTATATGTAATGTTTTCTAATCTGATATTTACCTCTAAAAAATGCACTGTGAACAAGTTTCAATTACATATATATGTCTATATGATAAATTTAAGTTTAGGTCCCAATATATGCATGGTCATTATTTAGTTAATTCTAACAGATTGAAATATTAATGTCTTGCTTTTAAGTGAATACTGGTGTGCATACATCTTTGTTTACATGTCAACTATTCCCTTTGAAATAGAATTCCTGTGACAATAGGTATGTACCATATGCTTACATATAACTGAAACTATTTCTGGGCTTTCTAATTGGTTCCATATGTCAGTCTATTCTAGTACCAGAATCACACTGTTTTGATTATTGAAGCCTTCAAATTAATCTACTATCTGGTACAATAAGTCTTTCTTCATATTTATCTTTGT